TTTTTTTTTTTTTTTCTAGTTTTCTTGATTACAAATGGCCATCAAAGTCTCTTACATTACATCTCAAAACATTCCAACAAGAACATGAACTCATCATCATAGTACAAATTTACACTTTTTTTTTATGCAGAAATACAAAAGTTTCAACAGTTCAATTCAATCCCTTAGCAGGATAATAAAACATACTACATACCAGATATAAGTGGCCAGTGGCCCTTTTGTGGATTTGCAAAGAGTCCGAAAGAGATCACGAAGACCAAATGGAACCGATATTTGTCAGAACTTCAACAAGTTGCTTCTCGAGTCCTTTTGGCTCGTGTAGTCATCATCACAGCTATTACTGCCACTCGAGAGTCGATTTGTTTGGGCTGAGTTCGGTAGGTCGAGCCCCTCTTTCCCCATCTGCTGCACCTCCAGGGGAGAAAGAATCTTGATATACCAAACACTGTTCACAAATTCCCTGAAAAAAAAAATCATGCTTTTCAACTAATAATAAGGGCGTGCTTGGATTCAAATATATCAGCTCAAAATGAGTTTTTTTTAGGTTAACCATAGTTAATTTTGAAAAATGAGGTATGATTAGTTGTCAGTGGTATTTTGAGTTTATATTAAAATAATTAAATTAAATTTAATTTAATTTAAAATTAACGTGCCAGAACCGTGACTTTTGCTCCAATCTCTTCCTTTTGTTTTGAGCCCTTTTTGTTTTCTCTTACCATTGGTTTCTCTTGGATTTCATCTCTTTGGGACAAAAATGCTATGTTGTTGTTGTTGTAATTAAATCTAATTTGATGTAAAAGTACTAAAGTAGGATAGAGATGATGTGAATAGATGTTTAGTTAAAATTATGTGAGTAGATGAATAGTGAAGTAAAGTTGATGTTATGTGTAAAAACGATTGATTGATATTATTTAATTATATTGTAAATATTGAGGATAGTGGAGTTGGAATTTGAGTATGGATTGAGAAAATTAATAAACAAACACACCCTAATTAATACGGTCTAGCCGAAAAAAGAAAATTTTTCCCCACGAAAGAAAAGGACTTACTGCCAAGGGTCATCACCGAGGAGAAGAACATCATTCTCCCGATCGACGAATACAAGCTGCCAGCCTGATCTATGTGGGTCCTCCAATAGCCCTTCGAGCCCAAACATCCGAGCAAGCTCGGTTCTCAGCTCGGGATAACTGCTAAATTTGGATATGTCGAGCGATCGCCCGAAAGACCCTGCCTTGTGAACCTGTCCCAAAAGAATAACCATTTCCAATCCCAAGTCACTAATAATACTTGGTGTTGTATCACCATAATCAGTAAAAAAAACGGATCTAATTATAAAACTATCCTTGACTTTTGACATAAAATGAATCGAAAATTCCTTTATCGAATACTCCCTTATCGAGGAAATGCAATTAGTAAAAACTGAGTGTAATTCTCAATTTTTAGTGATTTGAGTAAACCTCAAAAGCCCAAAGGAGTAGAGATACATGGCTTAAACTTCAAATTTTTACCTTAACGAAGGCTCCTGGGGTTGGGTTCGTTTGGTCCACGTTCTCTGAGGACTGCATGAAACCAGATTCATCCACGCAACTCAACGTGGTCATATCCGAGTTGAGAGGAAAATCGTTACCCGTAGAACCACCTCCGAATGTGGTGCCCGCATAAGGAATCGGCAAAGACTCGTTGTCATTGCTGCCGTTTCTGAGTGTCGACATTCCATTCGCCACACTCCCGAAAATCAAATTGTTCTGGGAATTGCTCGAAACCCGAAAGTCCGAGAATTCCCGTCCTGGAAAAGGTGGCAAAAGGGCTGTAAGATCCGAGACCTTGGTAGTATTAGGCGTCCCGAGTTCTTCCAACTGCGGCACGCCAAAATGAGAAGAAGCTTTGTTCATAACCTGCTGTGGGTCGAAAGCGACCCGTTTGAAGGACCCTTCACGAGAAAACGGGCTGCTCGAGAGGTTCTGCACGGAAGGGTTTTCGGAAGGTGACGGCGAAATGTGGGTCCCAATGAGGTCCGAGAGATTCTGCAGCTGGCTCATGGGCTGCTGCTGCTGAATAGGCACGAACTGAGCCTCAGAAAACGATCCTAATTGTGAGCTGGTGATGGGATTTGCCTTCTTGACCTGTTGTTGATCTTGATATTGAGGGTGAATTTGTTGTAACTGCTGCTGCAAAAATTGACCGTTGTTTTCCGGAATGTTCTGGATGAAGGTTTGTTGGGGTTGAGACTGTTGTAGCATTGGGTTTGCTATTAACGAGGAGGAAATGTTTGGAATGTTATGCTGGAATTGAAGGAGTTTTGAGGGGTTTAACGAGCTAGATGAGTCCTGAAGTGCGGCTCCAGCCATTAGTTGGTAAATATTCGGCTGTAAAGAGTGGAAAGAAGAATCGAGCCTCGGCTGGAGCCATGGGGAAACACCGAAGTTTTGGAAATTAAACGATTGGTCCCCAAAAAATGGAGAATTCATGCCCATATCACCATCCTTGAGGCCTGAAAATAACCAAAAATGAAAAAAAACATCATTGAGGTTGGCTTGCATACTACTATTAGAAATTAGTTGACATTATCAAATGTACTACAAATATATCCCCCGGCTTCCTAAATATTTTGAAAAATAAATGTTTCATTGGCTATTTATAGTATCAGAACTTTTGAGGCATGTAAGTGAAATTTTGACGATTTTGCAACATCGGAGATTTTCACAAGTAAAAGCAGTTGGCAAAAGATGAAAAAAATAAAATAAAATAAAATAAATAAAAAAATAAATAAAAAAATCTTAAAACTGTTGTAAGCCAGACCGGGGAATGACGGGAGTCCAGCTGGCCATGGCCGCTTCAATCTGAGGGAAAATGGAGAAGGGTACATAGGAAAAGTTGTCAGAGGTTCGATCTCCCACAACGAGACTCTCGGTTGCCTTTCGCCTGCAGTCGATTCGTCCCAACCAACCTGAAAGAGAAACCGATGTATAAACAAATCACCCGTAAATGAAAATTTTGAACTTTTAAAATTCTATGTTCATACCTTCACCGAGCGCCAATGAGAGTTTGACCAACGAACTGGATCCAAGTCGCTGATGCCCGTTATTGTACCCATATACCTGATACCAGAAAAAGTACAGCATAAATATGTAACTTTATCATATTCAAAAGCTAACCATTTGCTTTTATAGGAAATTAACCTACCTACGAACACTCGATTCTTCGGTCTCGAATAGCATCCGAAAACGCATGCCTACAGAAACTCTAGTATGATAAACTGCTTTGGCATATTTTGCTAGAGGTATCACAAACTCGGATGGGCTCGCCCTGAAATTTGCAAAATAATCGTGAATAAGGAAGTGTTTGATCTAATATACACATATATAAACATTTACCTTGGATTATAGAAAATAGTAAAACGGCTACTAGTGGCTGCTGCATGTGCAGCAGCAGCAAGGAGCCCAATGTGCATGCTGTCACTCGACAGCACAGATGAAGGCATAACTGTTTGAGGTCGATTTGCACGGCGTATCCCCAAGAGCAGCTGATTGTTTTCATTCCTGATGACACAAAAGGAAAAGCAATACAAAATAAAAACTAAAAAATAAGGAAAAAGAGATAAAATGACGCTGAATTTCAATTACGGATGAGAAAAGGTTAGGCGCCATCTTTGTGTAAAGTGAGACAGTTCAGCAAGATCATGTTAATATATTTTTCCTGAGTTGATTATAAAAAAAGAAAAAAAGGTTAATAAAAGGTGTATACCAGATGAAAATAACAGAATCTCCGGCAACTAGTCTCTTTGCGCTCACGAACACACTCCATCCCGTTGTAAGGAGATGCCTCTTCGGCTGACCTGCACGCTCGATTAAATCGAAATAACAGAGATTGCCTTCAAATATTTTCTTTCAAACATTTTTGTTGGATTCATGTGACAAACTACAATATCTAGTCTGACACCATATTGAGCAACTAAAAATAGTATTTGACCACAAGTAACACAACTTACGAAGGAAACAACTATTGAAGTGGATTATAACTTGCTTGTCTAGCCGAATATAACCAAAATGATGATTATAACACAGTAAATTAGCAGCAAAAAAAGCTTTTACCATTACATTTTAAAAACTTGGTAAATTGCAAAATATCTAATTCTTTCCAAGAGATTGTGACCTTATACTGTATTTTGACACATTAGCTAAGTGTTTGATAGTGAGATGAGAAAGAAACAATAAGTAAGTGATGACAGAATATATATCCATTATTCCATTTTGAGTAATAACATCAGCACGAATACACATGTCAAAAGTTTGATTAAACGCAAAAAAGATAAATTCAAATTGATATATTTTTCTTGAGAACTCACCTCGGAAAATATGCTTGAACTTCCATTCATTGCCGTGAAGATCCTTTGCAAGTAACTCTTGACAAGGAGGGGTTTGAGAGTAATCCTGACAGAACACAGCACATAAGCCAATAAGCAACTTTAACGAAAAAAA